TCATAGAAAATATTCGTTCTTTGAGAGGATTCGAACCTGCATCCTATACGGAACTGTCATTTACGCTGACGTGCCTTACCTCTGGGCCACAAAGAACCTTTCGGTTGACAAGGTCGAATTTACTGCTTAAAAACTTCAATCTTCCATGAATCTCGTACATTCATAACTGCTCTGGCGTATCAAATGTAAACAAATGACGTCATATATTAAGAAATGGACAAGGTCCGACAAACATAAACATAAAAAATGTCTTTAATAAATAAATTGTCGGACCTTGTCCATTACGTAGTGCAGGGTTAAAATTTGTAAGTTGTATTCTTGCAACACAGGAACAATACTTGCTAACTATAAATTACCAAGCAAACATAATGGAATATTTTGTTAACCTCAAATACAGATTCTGTGATGAATATCCAGAAACAATTGATTATCTTGTATCCGATTGGACGGTTTTGTCATCCAGCTGAATGTAGGAGGGGAAGGGAGAGTCTTGAAGTTGGCATAATGTCTGGACGTCTTGCAACTGCCATCGCCGAGGAAAATGTTCATCGTGTTCACTACATGGTGATGGATGATAGGCAATTGACTGCTAATAGCATATACGGTGAGATATCCTGCACGCTGAACTTGGCAAGAGGAAAGTTTCTGCTCGGTGGATGCAACTTCTTCTTATAACTGATCACATCAGGATGAATGAGTGTTGGGTTCATCACTTTCATAAACAAAAAGACAATCTATTCAGTGGAAACAGCTGTCCTGCTCCAAAGAAGCGCCAATGACGTTTCGTCAGCATAGAAGTTATTGGGGGGGGGGAGGATGCAAGAAGCATTGTGTTTATTAACTATCGTCAAAAGGGTCAATTGATATGACAACTTGCAGTTACGAAATTCTATCAAGACCAAACGTGCAGGATCTCAGACGAATGTTGTTTTGTTTCATCAAGACAATGCCCCAACAAGAGGCGCATTATAATAGCGAAAGATGCTTTCCAAAAACTAAGTATAGTATTAAGTAATAAACTAATTTCGTTAGGAACAAAGGAGTACTGGACTGTTACGTAATACCAATCCTCTTATGTGACAGCGAATGCAGAATAATCTCATCTCGGTGAACATGTGAGTAACAACGAAGTCTGAGAGAAAACTGAAACAAAAAGGATACTTATAATTAACGTCAGAAAGAGACTGTTGATATCTATGTATAATATAATTATAAAAAGGGAATGGAAATTATGATACTCACAGGACAGATAAGAGAAACAAAGGAAAAATGCATAATCTACCTAATGAACTTGAGTAAATGGATGGCGTATAAGATTTAAGAGAGATAACAAAGTAATACATAAGTTTACAAAGGATAAGAAATTGTGGAGAACCATGATCGCCTACGACAAGACAGATTTGAAGGCATGAGAGACAGAGGAAAACAATAGATAACTGAGCTTGAGTAAATGGATGACGAAGCAAGGTTTAGAAAAGATAACAAAAAGACAAATTTTATTAAAATCTACAATTGTGGAAATGCTACTAAAATCCTGAATGGACATGACGCCTAGAAGATTTAACAAAAGATGAAGGGTTTATTGAACATCATTTTCTGTTTCCTAATTTGTACTTGTTAACAAGTTATTTTTAAATATTTTTTAATGTTTTATAATTTTTGTTTTTTTTAATATTTCAATTTTTTCAATTGAAAACTCTGACTTTCGTTAAATCATAACTTCGATGAAATTTGAACTGAACACTTTATTAAATCTACGGGAGTAGAGAGTTTCTCATTCCGTTAAATCCACGGTTATCATGTCGAATTCTTAATTAATACTCCTCAGTTGTTGAGTGCAGTTCTGCACTGACGTCAAGTCAGCATTGTTCTGTACAAGGAATGAACTCACAACTACTACGTTACCAAATTCACGAACCACCGCCTTAATTCACGAGTTTAGTGATTTGGCAACATAGTAATTTGGTGAGGAGCCACGGTGGAGTGATGGATAGCAGTTCGGATTGCGAAATCGGAGAGCCGAGTTCGAATTCCAGAGTGCTAATATCTTCGGAAAGGTATGAATCCTCTATGGGTAAATAGTAGGACAGACTAGGTTCTATAGCCTTGGATGGCAACTTGTCTACCACAGAAAGAAATGGTAACCTACTGTTGATCAGTCATGTATTGTAACATACATGATCGCCTAAGTGTGTATCACTCATGGCACATAACTGAGTAATTTGGTAACATCGTAATAGAATGCCTATAAATAATTTAAACAATGATTATTATTATTATCCTTCTACTCAATCTCGTTCTCCTTTTAGTTCCTTCTCCCCGGAAGATGAGGTATCCACCATTCTCCTCCGTCTATGGCTGTCGTGTCCCAGAGCCTGGATCTCCACGAATTGTTTTTTGGTGGGACCATCATGTGGAGAATCTTAGACGTTTTAACCTGGCGGAACCAATCTCCAATGATTGGTTACGACTAAAAACACGTCGGCTTGCATATTACGGCAAGCAGCTTTTAAGTGAATTAATATTTTTCGGAAATTCTGTTAATTTTCAACGTAGACGGGTCCAGCTGTTTCTTCATGAAATCGGAAAGATGCATAGACTGTCCAGCTAACAATTGGTAGAGTTACGAAACAGGTGTTCTTCGCTACGTAGCAGAACAGATAAGTGGCTAACAATAGTAGACACTTCGTCTATGAAAAGGACCACTGTTAATCACAATCATATTTTAACCAAGCGGGGTGTAAACAAGATTATTCAATAAAATGTCCCGAGCAACCAACAGCAGGACTTCCACCCCTATGGGCAGAGTTCATCGCTGGTAACTTTTATTTTCCACATATTGAATAAGAAAAATCAGGAAGATAAGGCTGACCGGGTAAATAAATGGCTCAATATTCAAAATAAATAAATAAATAAAATAAAGTATTGATATTAAATGAATAAATAAATAAATTCGATCTTCCGGCAGATGTTGAATCAGCCTTGAAAACAAGAGAAAATATATATATATATATCTTATCCGAGAAGTGTGGATTTATTTCTGTGAAACTTGGAGTCGTGATAGAAGTCTTTGAACTTTTCATTGACCTACTGGCTTTAAAAAGTTTGCTACTCAAATACGGTAGTGATAAAAGTTCATTCTACCATGGGTTCGCGCGCGCTTTTCAAATCCCACGAACTTTTGTGCACCACAGCATATATGCGCATTCGTATGAAGATACGCCCATTGTCTTGCTCTTGATTAATTCCGTATAGTTCATTTCTTGCCTGATACACACATGCATTTAAAAATGCTGTTTTGCAAATCGATCTCTCCGCATCAGTCCAAAGGTACACAGGCCTATGTTCTGACGTAGAGAGAAGTGCATACACAAGCAAACCGCTTCATTAATAAATAAATAAATAATGAAGGAATAAAAGGTCTTCTTTACCATTTTCTGAATTCAACTGCTGTAGTTTCTGCCCGGCGGTGATACCCCCACTTGCCTGCCATTACCGTTAAACATTAGAAAGGCAATCAGTGACAAGAGCATTGACAGGTTTTATACAGTACAACACATTCTACGCAAAACAAAAAACACAAAGTCATTCATGAAGTACAATTCTAAGCAAAGAAGAAAACATTTAAAGAAAAATGTATTTTAAAACTATCTTTTATTATGGCTTCACCTCAAAACTTTTCCTGGTGCTATCTTCTTGGCTACAGACGAAATATTAAAATTAGCCACGGTTGTAAAATTTAAGAGAATTGTTTAAAATGTAAAATAAAATAAAAGGAGAGAGGCCATTTTTTTTTTAACTTGAGTTGTTTGGATGTCAAAATTTGAAGAAAAAAAAAGTATTTGTAAAACTGGATGGATGTTTGATTTCGAAATTGGAAAATTTGCATTCAGAGACAAAGAAGCGTTTAGTGGAGTTCGACGAAAATTTGGCTGAAAAAGTAAAATTCGTTATTTTTTTATTATTATTATTTTGTTCACTTATTTTCTTTTTTTTAATGAAATACGAGTCTTTTCTATACAAGACTTTGTGCTCACATTACGGGTACAAATATATTAGTTCATACAAACACACACACACACTCACACACGCATAGCCACTCACGCGCGCACACACATGCACTCAAACACACACTCATTCACACACTCACAAACTCGCACACACAAACACATACTTGCTCACACACTCACTCACACATACACACTCACTCACATACTCACTGACAAACCCACACTCACACATACTCACTCACACAAAACTCACTCACTTACATACTTACTCACTCGCACACACATACTTTCTCTCACACACACACACTCATTCGCTCTCACTCTCTCTCACACACAGATACTCACTTACATACACACACACACTCACATACACTCACGCACACACAGAGGAATTAAATTCAATTAGAAATTAAAAATTGGATTATTGTTCAGATATAATTATATATACAAAAACTGAATTATCGCTTAAATACAATAAGAGATTCAAAAGGGGGATTATTGCTGAAATACAACCAGAGATTAAAAGATGGGAGTATTGTTGATATACAATTAGAGATTAGAAAACTGGATTATCACTTAAATACAATTAGTGATTTACAATGGGGATTATCGCTAAAATACATTTAGAGATTCAAATACAATCAAAGAAAGCATTATCACCGAAATACAATTAAAGATTCAAAATGGGATTATCGCTGAAATAGTTTGAGATTCACAATTGATATTTCGCTGAAATACAATTAGAGATTCAAAAATGATATTATTACTGAAATACAATTGCGGAATCAAAAACGGGATTATCCCTGAAATATATTAAAGATTAAAAAATGGAATCATCGCTGAACTTCAATTAGAGATCAGGTATTTGTAATTATATGTTAGCGCTCTGTCAATTAGACAAAAACAAACTTAAGCGTATTTATACTGAATTAGGATGAGGTTAATGTGATTTACAATGAAACCAAATAAAAATATCTTATTGTGAGACAGATGCACTTTCAACGTTCATCAGTGGCGGCTTTATACATTTCTTTATTCACATTTTCTGTATTTTCTTTTACCCTTTGGGAAAGTAATTGCCTTATTTGAGTGCGCCTCTTATTTAGTAGTAAGCAGTTAATGTTATTTTCCGTTTGTTGATAGCACAGTTTTTATCTAATAATCCCGCTCATGTCTCATTCAATCGCCTGGTTTCTACATAATCTTAATGTTGCAAATGGCGTACATTTCAACGATTCACTTTTGATATTTCTCTAAGTTAACATATTGTATTCTATCCGCCTTTAAAGGTTTAAATCAGTTTCAATTAACCTAAAAACTAGAGTCGTGTTCTTAACTAGCCTCGCCTCATTAAGACATTAATCTTTTTGTCATGCATGGCGCCAAACCTGTCCAGAAATATCTAAACTGTCAACTGTATACAACCGCCTTCTCAGAAAATATCTTCTAGAAAACGGAATCTATGGGGGCTTAGCGACGGCCATATTTCTTCGAATCTCGTCGACAGGTGCTACACAATCACTAAGAACTGTACCAAATAAACGAAACAACATAACTTTCCACAATAGAGAAATTTAAATGCATATCACATGTTGCCGTTGGCACCCGCCTTCATCTGATCATCGGGATCGTCATCCTCTCTTACTCACACTTGGTGGCGATGGCGGAGATGACTGCGAATCAAAGAGAGTTTTACGAGGCTATTCTCTTGAATTTCATTCTGCACGACGAAGAGGGCCACACATTTTGCCAGAAGCGCCTCCCTTGCTGCTCAGAAAGGATTAAGACAGATGAGATCTGGCAAAACTGGTTTCATCGGGTTGTCGAATGCTTGATCTGCGATGGTCCGCTTTGGTTACGCCAACCCGAGTGGCGCTGCCCTCTTCAAACAATTTGGTCATTCAGATCGTGTTAACTTCAAAGACACTGCTTACGTTTCTCTTATACAATAATTTCTGCAACACGATGACGTGTGCTGAAATCCTCACAGTATTTAATATTGTGGAAGTTATTGCTCTAACATTTTTGTTGAGATTTACAAACTCTACGTATTTTGTAAACCACTCGATGAAATTTGAATAAGCTAATTTGTTTGAAAAAATACTTTGACAAACCCCTACTTCGTATTTAATAATTAATTTAATTTTATTTTGTAGGACTTCATGATAAACAATATTCGTTAAGAAAATTTCTTTTCTTCCTTTTTAACAGTGAATAATAAATTCTTAGGATTTCTTACTCTTGAACATGCAACATACAACTGGTCATGCGTAAATATTTCTTTCTAGAGCCAATTTCCAATTTTTTGAAGCTTTTGGTTTCGATCAGGTAATTTCACATATAGACTGTATAACACTAAGGACACTTGTTTCAACCTCATGTGTAAGTACAAACGAGAATATGGGCCTTCTTTCTATTTTGTACAGGCATTCGCACAAATATACACTCATACACGCAATCTATATATAAATCCTTCATTTTCTTTCTGTTTATCCCGCTTGTAAAGACATAGCACTCATTCCACGTCTTCTTTTTCCCCATCTCTCTCTCTCTCTCTCTCTCTCTCTTTGACATCACTTTCTTTTTCATCATCTCAATCTTCTATTCCCCCCTTTCTCTTATAACCGTCTTTCTTTTCCTCCTCCCAGATAATGCTCGTAGAAGATATGTCGAGAACGCACAGAAATTGGCAGGTATTTACGTACACATTCATTCACTCACAAATCCGGGCATTTAATTCTGTAGAAATTCCCGACGACTCATAAACAATGAAATCATAATCATCCGAAGATGGCTACCAAAACGAAATATGTATGCACAGACATTAAAATTCATATCCATGCAAATAGACTTGGAGACACACTTAATGCACACACACACTCTCTCTCTCTCGCTCTCTCTCTCTCTCTCTCTCTCTCTCTCTCTCTCTCTCTCTCTCTCTCTCTCTCTCTCTCTCGCTCTCTCTCGTTGATTTCCTTTGCCAGTCAATCATTTAAGATATTCTCTCTTGTCAGCTATATTACCAGTTTCTTTATCAAATTAAAACAGCAGATTTCGTTCCAACGCCGATTCACATCCGGGTCATAATCAAATCAACCAATCCGCTACTTGCGGCAAACTTGATCCTGGCGCCATTACAAATTACAAAGACGAACAAATAGAGGGAAAAAAATGGACAAGATTTCCGGAAAAAAAGCCCTCCATAAAAAGAAGCAAAGTTAAGCACAAGATGCAACGAATTAAATAACAGTTCTGATTCTAAATTGATCTTTTCATATGGATTGTAATCCTTCTAAGCTTCTATTGGTGATGACTCCTCAAGGCATTAAGACATTAATTCATGACTCTTGGATAGTTTCGTGGATCTCGCTTATAAGCATCAACTAATTAGTGCATCCTTTGATTTTCTTTCGAGAAGAACTACCATCCAGGCATTTATATGCAAATCGATGGGAGTCGTTTCTAGTAAACGAATTTTCATCAAAAAACCCAACCGCTTTTATTTAAGGAATCTTTTTATACGCCTTTTGTAACATGTATTATACAGCATTGCTTAACATATATATATATATATATATATATATATATATATATATCGTATTTATTTTTATTATATGCCATGTCCCTTCAGCACGTTCGTCTGGGGTATGGCAATAAACTAAATCCATCAGCAAGGCCTGTGATCGGGGGTTTTGAGGAAGGTGGAACCGCCTGTTGTTCTCAGGTCCACCCTGCCCGGCGGTGGTAGCACCTGTTAGGGTCCCAGCTATAGGCAAATAGTGAACCCCAAACAAAACGCTATGAATGTATAACAATATATTTTATAGTAAAATACCAGCAATACATTTTTATATAAAAAGATGACCACCTATACCTGTTTATAGTAAAATGACTAACAATATATAGGGTGACCCCAAAAAACGGGAATTTTTTAAGTGTGTATTGCCAGACATTGAGCAAGTAAACATTTCACCATTTAGAATTCAAGATGAAATTCACAGTATCCCAGTTGAGATGTTGCAGCAGTCAATGAGGAATCTCAACAGCAGATTTCAAGAATGCATTCATACACGAGGACGCCATCTACAGGACGTAATTTTTAAAAAATGAAAATTCCATCATTGTTTCTTAAATGGCATGTTTTAAGGTTTCAATTACTATGAATAAAATATTTTTCTTCCATCAATTTTGGTTTTATTGGATTGTTAAAAAGTTCCCGTTTTTTTTGGGGGAGGGTCACCCTGTATTTTATTTGTAGTTGAAGGCATACAATTACATTCAAAGTATATTTACTAAAAAATAAAATTGTGTTCAGACAAAATTGGACATCATTATGTTATCAAGTATCTGCAGAAAAAGGGTTTCAACCCCAAAGACCTTCATGCTGACATGGTTGGTACTCCAGGTTTATCAACAGTGAAAACATGGCCAGCTGAATTTAGGAGAGGAGGGAGTGTCTTGAAGATGACCCAAGGTATGGACGTCCTACAACTGCCACGACTTAATAAAACATTGATCGTGTTCAACACATTGTGACGGATGGCAAGCGATTGACTATAAATCAAATAGCCAATGTTAATAGCATATCTCTTCAAAGAGTTGTGAATATTCTGCACAATCACCTTTGCAGGACGAAGTTTTCTGCTCTGTGGATGCTACGTCTTCTGACTCCTGATCAAAAGCCCATCAGGCTAATCCCATCACAGGAAAATCTGGCTAGTTCGAAATAGATCCAGATGGTTTATCTGTGCATTCTCTAACCCAGGGTGTGTGTGTTGGGTACATCACTTTGATCCAAATACAAGGAGACAATCCATACCGCGTAAATACATCTCTTCAACCTGCTCCAAAGAAGACCAAAGTTGTTTCATCTGCACTGAAATTGATGGCCTAAATTTTGGGGGATACAAAAGGCATTGTTTTTATCTTCAAAACGGTCATAACAAGAATGGAAAGTACTATACCAACTTGCTGAGGCAGTTCCTAAAGGCTATCAAAATATAACGCTCAGGGATACTGACGAAAACAAATTTCTTTCATCAGGGCAATGCTCCAGCATATAAGTCCTTAATTCCAATGGCTATTATGCGTGAATGTAGCTTCGAACTGTTGAATCAACCGCCTTATTATCCTGAGTTGGCCCCATCTGACGATCATCTGTTCCCCAACTTGAAAAAACACCACACAGGGGACCAGTATCGCAGTGATGTCAGATCTGCAGCTGATGACTTTTGAACAACAGGATTAAAGCTTCTTCATCAATGAGATCGAAGCACTGCAACCCAGCTGGACGTAGCATGTGGACCACAAAAGAGAATATGTTGAAAAATAAAACTAATTTTGGCCACATTCGATGAGAATATGTTAGTTAGCCTATGAACTTTTCAGCCGATCCTCGTAGCTCTAAGTAATCTCATTAATATCCTATCATTCCTTGATACTCGTTAGATATGTAACTCGCTGTTCCTGTGACTGCTCCGTGAGTGTCAAGTTCTCCAAGCACTCTTTCCTCATTAAGTGTTACAGAAATTTCAACTACCTCTTTCTGATTAGAGGTATAAGTGTCTTTTTTTTATTTTCTTAAAACTTGTTCGTTGCTCACATGTCCTGTCCTTATTATTCTGAGAACACTTCTGTTGATGTCTATCTCAAGTGCTTCCAAGTCTCTCTTCTTCTGTAAAGAAATTGTCCAGCATTTACTGACATATAGGGTTAATTATATTACATTGCAGTTTAGCACTTTTTACTTTGTTTCTAGCGAAAATCTCCTGTTACTAAGCTCTTTGTTTACCGTTTAGAATGCATATTTTGATATTCTAATACATCGGATTTCGGTGTATTCGTCATTAGTTAAAACACTTCCGCAATAGTGACCTTTATCTCCTTACCATGTTTCTGACACTTCCACATTCTGATCTCTCGCATCTTAGTCTCTCTCTATCTATCTCTCTCTCTCACACACACACACAAACATACACGCATACACACACACACACGCACACACGCTGACAAACTTACAGATCGATAAATATGTGCAGATTCAGATAGATCTGTAACATGACGAGTAACATATAAGAAGATTCTGATGAAAATTAAACTTATATTTTTGTATTTCACTTTTTGATGAGTAATTCGTTATAAATTTAATTATTTCAAACTATTGCTCGTATTTTGGTTATTACAAATTTTGTTATAAACACATTTCTGCCAAACACACTCTGATCATCATCAGGTGTCCATCGTTTAATTTAGATGGGATATCTGTTAATTTATATATATTACAAATTAATTTAAGCAAAACTGACTATTAAAGGATGAAAAATTTCAAAGATTTTGACGTCATTCTGGGCTCTTGTTTTCTCCAATTCCGTGAATTTGTTTTGTCCCAGACCAACTATCACGAAAGCACACGATAAAAGCACTACATAAAAGCACTACATAAAGGCACTACATGAAAGTACTGATTAAAAGTACTGCATAAAAGTACTGCATTAAAATCACTATTTATAAATTTGAATGTCTTACACTTCTACGTTTTGATAAGCAAATCTCAAGTTGATGTTAAACATTTCCGCAAAATTTGTTGAATTTATTTAATATGGAACCCTGTATTATGACACGTCATCTATTTAGATACATCGTATTTATTTTCAATTTTTCGAGTTGATATGTTCATCCATATTGCATATGACACTTTATTGAACATAATTAGGTTACGATAAATTTATATTTTATATGAATACTACCCTAAAAAAATTGAGATTTAGTTGAGGGGGGTATATCACAGATTGGGTGAGGGGGCACGTGAGCTTTGCACCAGACCTGTATATATGAATGCAATATTGTTGATTTGTTTTTTTGGCATTTCGTCAAATTTAAATTCGAATCAAACCTTGTACTGAATCTAATCACGTCCTTGTAAAATCTCTGTTTCAGAAATACTATAAATCTGAACAGACTTCATAATCGAAAAGTCTATGTATCTGGATGGAGGTTGATGGTCGGACCAGACGTTTCCCTCCTAAAGCCGCTGGCATAATCTTTGGATTATTTTTTAGGTCATGATCAATACATCGAAGCCCGCAAGGCTTGATTAGTGATTAACTCAATAGTTTACAGTCGACAGAGTAAGGAGGCGGGGGAAAATATCTGATCAATAATTTTTGCGTAGAGTTCGAAGATCTGGAATTGGCATCAATGAAATTAAAGATACGTTTGACATTCTGGCTGTATAAAGATATAAGCGGGAAAATGAACAGGAAAAGGTGAAAAAAAGAATTGAATTAATAAAAGGCCAGCCTCGTAGCTGAAATATCTGTGTCTTTCCTCCAGTTGCCAAAAGCAGTGATAGAATCCAGTTAAAAGTTAGAATTTCATTTTTTAAAGACAAGCGAGATGTCAGCATAGGAAAGAATGGCTTCCTTCCTATGAATTTCCATAGTTGTCTCTTCTCTTTGTATATAAATATATAATTTTACAAGGCAGCGAAGAAAGGGAAACTAAGTAATAAAGCGAAAATTCGTATTGAAATATGAAAGAAAAAGACAACTAAGAGAGAAGGAATAGATGAATGGATAAATGATGAAACAAACGATTTCGAATAAAAATAGAATAACTGAAAAAATAAGACAGGAAAAAACTATCTACGGTTGCATAGTGGCTAGAACACTCACATCTTTCCTATTTTAGGGTGTGTTTTTTTTTTCATCCAAATCCGGGAATTGTTTTGCCCAAGGTAAGTCTCAAAAAACACTATTTTTCACTATTTTTTATCCGTCCAAGGTATGACAATAAACTACATCCATGTCCTGGGTAAGACGATAAACTACGTCCAACAGCAAGGCCGATGATCACGAAGTTTGGAGGAGCGTGGAACCACCTCTTAATTGCTGGTGTTCCCATGTCCGGGATGGTAGCACCTGTTAGGGTCCCAGCTATGGGTAAATAGTTAACCTCCAAACTGGGGTCAAAACACTATGAAAATGTAAAAATAGGTTTAATACCAGAAATACTTTGTAAAAAATTATTACCAGCAATACATTTTTGAAAAAATATATTACCAGCTATACATTTTTGTAGGAAAAAAA